TTTTGGAAATCGAATTTCCCAGAGGAACCCACCCGAGGGATTAATAAAGTTTTATCTTATCTTATCTTATATAGATATACATATACATGTACACATTTAAACTAACATGCATGTTATGGCGTGCCTGTCATCAGAGGGCGCTGTTGTGTGTAAAATAGCATTGACCGTGTACAGGTGAATTTTACTGTTTCTGACCTTTACTCCTAAGCTAATTGTTAAATGTGAATAAAAGTGGTCCTAGAATAAAACCCTGTGGCACACCTTTGTTAACACCACCAGATATCATCCATAAGCCACACTTTGTTTTCAACAACTGAGAAAACCAGTTCTCAGCTTGACTTTTCATCCAATCGAAAGAACCTGATGATTGACAACATTTAATATAAAATATATGTGCTTTGATATAATTAACACTGTTTAAATTGTGGCTTTCAGAGAATGGATACTCTGAAGCAGAGCCATTCAAAATAAACACTATTATTTCACATCACCAGTAAACTGATGACAGAAAATGACAGAGAGGGAGGAGGAGAAGCAACAAATGTTCCCAGCCAGACCGGAGATGAGTCACAGTGACACTCCCGGAGCTTTCAACTATATCAACATCACATATTGTACATGGTCGTCCTAAATGAATTTAGCATCCCAAGTTTTCATGAAAATGGAGATGTTCAATACTGTTTTATCATTTTAAGTAATTCCGATCATGCTGGTTTAAAAGGTGAGAGAATACAATTAAAGTTTGAAATTAAAGTTTTGGTGAGATTTATTCTGTGAGCTCCGGCTCTTAAATTGAAGAACAAACTCAGATGTTTTAAACTGACCACTCAATCATTTACTACCCACTGTAAATTATTCACTACACGGTGAACTAATCAGTGAACAGATGCAGACAGCTGTTGATACATGCATGTGTCACTGCCACAGAATTATACCCCTAATTATCTCTGCCTCTAAAACAAAGGAAGAACACTGACACTTTAGTGTTACTACGCTCTGTAATTGAAAAAAAATCTCACTACAGCATTTAAATATACATTTGTAACACATATCATATGTGATTTTCAGACCTACTGTCTGAAGTTTAACTCAATTTTAAAGCCCTCCAAAAAAAGGCGTCAGAAATTCACAGAGTGTGAAGGTGTGGCCAGGCTTGTTGTATGGAGGGAAAAAGAGGTTTAAGTCATAGAAAAAAAGCTGTAGGAATGAGTGTGACTGGGTGAAAGCATCTTTAGTACATGGTTGAATGTAGTAAAGGTTCTTTAAGTGCTCAGTAATAAGCATGTTATAGTTTTATGCCCAAAAGGCTGCTAGTGTTCACTGTCATCAAACAAGCACAAGGCTTTTTATTACAATGGACCAACTCTGCATGCACCCTTCATCTGGACCTCAAAGAAGCATAAAAGGAGTGACACACTAGTGGTGTCTGGTCTGCAACAGAGTATTATTAGATCCACCTTTTGGGCTTTTCTAAAATACACTGCAGTGCATCTGGTGAAGTCTGAAGTAAGAAATACAAGTTGGTTCAGCGAGCGTGAATCTGAGCCTTGAGCCCGGAGGATGTATGGGGTTGGACCAAAAATGACAGCCAGAATCTCTCACCTGGTATTCAATCTCACTGGGCGTGGCCTGTTCTCCCCTGGCGACCGGCTCGGGTGTCACGGCGACCGTCGGAGAGGCAGGGTCTGTGTGTTGTTGTGAAGGGGGAGGGGCAGGGCTGGCGGGCTCCTCCTCTTTCTGAAAGTCAGCTTCTGAGAGGTCATCCATCATGTTTATCTCTGCCTCTCGGTAGGCCCGTCGCTCTGCCTGCGAGAGAGGAAGGATACTTTTATTCCATCAACGTTGTTTGATGCACAGGTGTTGAGTTCACAGGATGACACAGGGGAAAAGTCTTTCCCACAAGAATTAAACACAAATGCCTTTAACGCTTTAATAAAAACACAAAAGAAGCATGTTCCCAAAATATCAATTATGAGATAATAAAAACACAGATTTCTCCTCTGGTAGATGCGAGTACATGCTGGCAGGTTGATAAACATGATTGAAACAAGAGAAGGTGGTCAGATAATATGTTGTTTTCTCCAACTGTTGCAAAAACAAGCAATTTATTTTAGTTTTGAAATGCTAATTTTCTAGATACTCTTCAGAAAAGTTGCCTAGTCACTTATATGCATGGTTCCTAAACATCACGAAAAGATGAATATATGAGGGTTTTTTTTATAATTGTGTGGAAAGTTTTAAACATGAACAAAGCAGCCTGATATCAGTCAGAGGGAACTGAACTGACTTGTCCCACTCTGACTCACACGGAGGAGAACAGTAGATTAAATCATATCTATACTTGTCTTGAAAATCTGAGGTTAATTAACATTTGGAAGTGATACAGACTGACTGAAGGCTTTAGTGTGTTATATTCCAGTACACGTCAAACTGTGGAGCCTGCTTTTGACTTTTCTACTAAAAACTAATGCAGAAACTGGTGCGCTAAAAGTCATTAAAGTCTCTGATGCTCAAAATTTCCTGGCTAGGAGATCCGGTCTGGTGTTAAAAGTGTCACCTCATATTCAAACTAAATCTATGCCCAAAATCTTTTAATTTTCTACCTCCCCAAGGCTCTTTTTCAAAGGATGGTTTGGCAAAGCTATGAGGTAATGTCAGCATTATCTTACAAGAAGGAAAATGTATAAAATGTTGTATTTGAAGTAATTGGAAGTTTTAATCAAGTTAAAAACATTAGAAATTAACAAGTGGACACATTGACAACAAATTGTTTTTCAGCTCTAGTTAATATTTATTAGGCCCTGGAAAAATAACTGTAAAAATGTTCCAATTTTTGACCTTATGTGAGTGTAAGAACAAATTAAAATTCCTATTACTAATTTCTGCTCCATGTCAAAATTTCCAACACCAGACTTACGATTTATGTCCGACTTTTTATCAGATTTTCCTTTGGGCAAACCTCCCACATGTACGCATATCCTCCTCCACCAGTACTGATATCATTAGATAATAGATTACTCATTCAAATGTTTCATCAAATAAGACTTCACGTTTTTAATAGGTTGTGTGGGTTTGCCATTTTGCTCTTGCTATTTTACTGTGAGTAGAAATATGAGAAGAATGAGAAAAAAATGCAAACAAAAGGTCCCTGGCTCAATGGTTTCTTTGGCAAGTGAACAAGCAAAAAATGTACTACTGAATACTGAAGCAGCATTTAAACAAATGTTTTACTATTTCAACTTTCTACCACAAATCAAGAAGTCAGCAGATCTCAGAGCCGGGCCAAATCAGCCAGGGGCTCAGCAAATGTCCCTCCACATACTGGTGTGGTAAATTTAACTTTTTAAGTTGCTTTAACCTGCCTACAATTTTCGCACAGCTGCAAGCCACATTGGAACCCACCTGGGTCTCACAAGAGGGCCATAAATTAGGCAGGTGGAAGGATCAGTCTTCTTTTTTACTCTATTTGTCCTGAGTGAAAAATGAATATGAATGATGTGAATAATGTCAGGTTATTTGAAATTTTAAACATTGTAAAAGTAGGTAAATAATAAACACACATAAATAGATATAGACCTACGTAGCTTTGAGTTCTGATATAGTGAATAAAGAGATTCCAATCAAGATAACTATAGATAACTAATATGAGCTAAACTCAAAATATTATTTAATTATTGTACACATACAATTCAGAATAAAAGAAATGACTGACTATTATTACCTGTATTTATTTTTTACTATTTTTTTTTAAAAATTTGGACAACAACAACAGTGTTGCTCTGATTGTCATCATCCCAGGGTTGGGATTTTCATTGACTATATTTAAGTTTGTATTTTATGGTTCTTGTATTTGCTTGTTGTCCACCTTTTCCTCTGTCTCTGTCTTCATGTTTAGCATGTGTCATTTGGTCATGTCATGTTTTACTGTGAAGGCTAGTCTTCTGCAGTGTCTTACTCTAACTTTTCTTCCTGCTTTTCTCTCGCCTTTGTCAATTACATCCAGCAGTGTCAGGATTCAGTTCCCTATCAGTCCTCAGTGTGTATATATAGTGCTTACTCTGTTCTGTCTTCTGTCATGTTGTCTGCTTAGAGTATATGAAACTATCAGTTTACTTCCTCCTTGTGTCCTGGTGCCCTTTTCCTCGTATCCTGTGTTCATTCAGTTTGGTTAACTGTTGATTGGTGAGGGGTTTTTTTTTGTTCCTATTCAACTCTCCACACAACTACACTGTGACATGAATAGCACAGGTTTAAGAATTTAAACAATAACACCCAAACTCAAAAGAAAAAAGTGACTCTAGAAACTTTTGAAGATAGTTAAAAAGATGACAGCTGACTGGCAACTTCATCAGCTATTATGTACGTTAAAATCTTCCCTGCATATTACTGTCATTGATCATGTCTGGCATGCCCGCGCCTGTCGAGGACATCGTCTCCTCCTCATGTGTGTTTCCCCATCTATGATAAACTTTGTTTTATTTCTGCTGGTCCGTAGCCAAACACTGTCCTTCGAGGAGGTCTCATAACTGATGCTTTTTGTGGTTCTTTCTAGCTAAAGTGGCGGCTGCTCTAGATCAGGGCCCTGCTGCCTCGAGCTGCAGGAACAATCCTTTAATTGTTCCTCTAAACAGGAAGTGAGTGGGGAAAGAGGGTGCGGTGGGGAGGGAGTTCAGTGGGTTCAACTTAGGAAGGAGAGAGAGAAAGAGAGGAAGAGAAAACAAAGAGCGAGAGAGTAAATAGGATTATATCATAAAACTGGAGAATACAGCACAGACAGAATGCGCAGCTCTTTGAGTGCAAGTCAGGAAGACACAGAGCTCAGATTTTCAACTTAGAGTTGACTTCATTGTACAGCAGTTGTGACCAATTACAACATCATACTATAAAAATACACGATTAAAATTACAAGTCTTGTATTCATACTTTCCCTAAAGTACAAAAGTACACCAACCCCCCCAAATGTGAATGAGTTTCATTATTAGTTTAATAGAGAGTGGGTTAAGGAGTTTGAGCTGTACTTTAATATTTTAGAAGTCAATGATCAGCTTTGTGTATAAAATCCTTGGAAAAAACAAACATTTGAATTCACTCAGACAGGCCTCTAGGCCCCGATCAATGCCTGTGGTTGCAAAAAGACTTGAGGTCTATGTCAAATCAGCCCTCAGCTCCCTTTATTTATGACCTTAATAAAACCTTTCCTGATGACTTTATGGTCTCAGTCACTAGTTTCCTGTGTTACTGAATAAAACCTGATTTTAATTTTGTAAACAGCACCCATTAGAGTTTAAAAGGAAGATAAATCAGGGTCTGGTTTACCCTTTGATTGACAATTCGCTACTGTATGAGAGTGGAGCGTTGCTCGATTTCTAGTTCAATCCATCCCTTCCTTTTTCAAAGCATTTTGTGGTGGCTGACGTACTCATCTCTGGACTTAACAGGAAAAGCTTGACGTCACAGTGGCTACAATCATCTTTATAATTTCTAAACACTCCACGCTTAGACTGGACTAGCTTTGCATCATCAAGTTCTTTATTCATCGTCTACTGGGCCTTGATGTTGCCCGTCATGTCATCCTCCAATGCAAGATGTTTTTATCTCCACTCCCCTTAGAGATTAAAGGGTTAGATATTAGAAAATGGAGACCCCAGAGGACAAACATGTGAAATAAAAGCAAAGAGATGGAAAGAGATACAGCAAGGAGACACTTTAAAGTGGACATAGCTACATATTTTTATTCTTGTACTCCACTTAAGTAGCTTTGCATGATTCATAAAACAACGTAATCCAGTTTTATTTTTCCAACTGAACCTTAAGGAAGCCCCTCAGTTCATTATTGTCTATTTCTGATGTCACATATAGCCAAGAACTAAAAAAAAAAAGTACAAACTCAATGTTTATAGCAGTCTGATGCCTGAACTTTTGGATTACATGAACAGATACTGACATTGTTATTTAAAAGTTTGAACAGGAGCACACTGGCCTCCAAATTTTAGTGAAAAGTAAGAATAAGTAAATATCAGAAGGGCACTTAGAAAGCGCAGACCTCCACCAAGGCCATTTTTAAATAAAGTAATCCAGGTCGGCACCAAAATAGTAAAGGTTATTTTTTTTATACCTCTCCTCAAGTTTCATGGAAACTGGTAATTTTGCACATTTCATAACATTACAACCTAAAACTCATAATTGTACATAAGGATGGCATTTGAGTAAGCATAGTGCTCACCTGTGATTATCAGTAATAGCTACCTGCAGAAAATCAAACTTCGGTGCTGAAAGATGACACAGTAATGTGGCCCTGAGTTGAGCTCTCAGCTTAAAAAAAACAAATAAAAAAAAAAAACTAACCATGTGCTCACTCCTACAGGTGAGGTCCTATTGACCTAAAATCTTTCTAACACTAAAGAGAACCATTTGTTTGTTACTGGAGCTGATGTAGAAACCTGCTGCATTCTGCTAAATAGAAAAAAGAAAAGGAGAAAAATGGTGAGGGCTACTGATGGCATAAATTCACGTGGAGGAGACAGTTTGTGACGGTGTTCTCCCGAGTATGACCCCGAGGTGAGAAGGTCACTTTTTCTCACTCCTGTTGGCCTCTGACCTCATAAAATCCTAATCAGCCTGTTACATGGATCATACACAAACCACACACACACTTGCTCACTCACATACACAAAGAAAGTGAGGAAATCTCCATATGTCTTCACTGGTCCCTAAAACATCTGGGAGACTTAAATAAAAAACTGTTTTTTTCCTTCCTGCAGCTAAATGGCAGCTATTTTTATTTTTCTATTAGTGCAAATGTTTTG